CGGCGCAATGTGATGGAAGACACTTAGGCAACTGTTGCTGCTGGTTTTTAACTGGATCATTCTGTGAATAAACATGAGTGTACGTCATCGCTTTCCATGTTCGGAATTTCGAGTGCCGTAGTGCGATTTTTTTTTTTTTTTTTGCATTAGGATGTGGATGCTCTCATCTCGTGTTGTGATCGAGTTTTGCAGGTTTTGGTTTGGCACACACAAGGGAAGCACCCAGGAATGCTGTACAAACTGAAGGTCAAATAAAGTGCGCTTTTTTTTTTCCCTTTGAAATCTTTTGCGTCATTTCATGACAGTGTGCATCGCATGCGCGTTCTATACCTGCGCGCCCAGCCATTGCTGTATGCGACGCAATTGATAAAAACGTCTACAGTACTCTCAGATTAAGATGGAAATATTTAGGGTACAACTGTGCACGTACTTTCGTTTCCAGCAATTGCAGTTATAGACGTCACTCTGTCCAGGCGGCGCTGCGAAAAACGCCGCCACCAGTGCCCCAGTCGCCGCGCTGGCCATAACTGGGCAGTGCAAATAGCCGTTTGCAAACGCATGTGCATAGGCCCTCTTTCGTTGGTGTTAAGGCGCGTTTTCCTGATAATCAAGGACCTGGCAAGCTTATTACGTCACTACAACGTCGCTTCAGAAAAGTAGGATCTCGTCATAGTATGAAGCTCATCATAGCGAACTGCGGGTACAACGCCAAAGATGTTTCAGTTTATTTCGGCGTGCTGCGACTTGCAAGTAAAGTGCTAAGTCAGCATCGTATTGACATCGAGTTTGAGGCAAGCAGTCCGACGTGCGTTCTGTAACGCCTAAATGCGTTGCATTTAAACGTAGGCATGATGCCAAAGCGACGAAGGACGTACGCGAGCAATGCATCTCACCATCATTGAACTCACTTTATCGATGACCCCGACAATTTTTTGCCTTTAGCATATACAGTAACTCTAGAAAAACGCGAAAGGAGAGGTGTTTTTAACATGAGTTTTTTTTTTAATACAATTTGGCTAAGAGACATATACCAGTACATAGGTGTTCTCTGCTTATACTGAGTCCACCTGATGCAAAGGCTACTTTGGCCGGCGGCATATCTATCTATTCAACTCCAAAGTGACGTCTATCACTGGGAACGCTTGCGTCAAATACATCACCTTTAGCGGCCGGAACTGCAAGCTGGCGCAGTTATCGCGAACATCTCTCATGGCAGTCATGTTTCAATTCGCGATCAGTACTGTGACCATAAAGAAAAGAAAGCTTCCTCCGTGACATTAACATCGGGTAGAAGCTGTTCTTGACGAAAACGTATGTGATCAGGGCCATAACTGGAGGCGGGTTGAGTGGGTTTAACACCCCACGAAATGTTTTAATGCTTTAACTTTTATAGTAGTACCACCGTATTTGCACGCCTTCACATCGACCAACAGTTGCCAAAGTTAACTGTTCTACACAAAACACACCCCGAAAAATTGCTGGGTACAAGCCTGGGTGTGATGATAACGGAGTGATAAGTCGTCGCGGCGATATACCTTGGAAAGATAACGAAAGGTTTGTATCCACAACAATAAAGATCAGTTGACAAGCGTTCGTGGTGTCCCACTACAACGTTGAAGGGTAAGTGTAGTAAATAATGCACTGTAAATCTGCGATGCATATGGAGCTCTTGGTAACATTAAACGTGATTTTGAAGGGGAATAACGGCTTGTCTAAGGTGGTGTTGGCTGACAATTGATGTGCCGGAATGCTTGCTGTCACTGAAAAGAAAGAAGATTGCATTGTTTGAGTTCCCCTGGCGTATTTTTTCTCCAGCCGAGTTGGAAGCTACATTAACTGAAATTGCATTAGGATTGGAGAAGAGATTTAAATCACAAATCAAAATAAAGTGTGCAAAACCGTCATTCGGAAATGATTTTATTGAAGTAAGTAGGGATGAACTTGCGCACGTCGTTCGCATTCTGCCAAACACAGGTCCTGGACCAGATGACGTCACTTCAGAAATGTTAAAAATATTCGACATCTCTCCTGAAGATCTCCTTAACGTTGTCAACTATTCACTTGAAAATAGTTGGATACCTCCTGACTGGAGACTTGCAAAAATAATACCGCTTCTTAAAAAACGGGGACTAGGAATGCAGATAGATAACATTAGGCCAATCGCTTTAACATCACACGTAGCTAAGTTAATAGAAAGAATACTTTACGTTAGAGTTACGAAGTTCATAACAGATAATGCGATACTCAGTGCGTGCCAGATTGGATTTAGACCAGGTTACTCTATATGGTGGGCGCATGTTGATTTAGAGGCTCGTATAAAGCTTGCTCGGCACAGACGACAATATGCGGCCCTAGTAACCCTTGATTTAGCAAAGGCATATGACAGTGTTGAACATCCTATTCTTATCAATATCCTAAAAGAGCTTACGTTCCCACAGTACATAACAAATTGGATATACGAATTTTTAAAAGACAGAAAATTATATTGTTTCCAACGAGGTGTTTCCACGCCGAAGTATAGCCAAACGAGAGGTGTTCCTCTAGGCTCTGTTCTATCGCCTGTGCTATTTAACATTTTGTTAAGTTCAATACCCCTGAGTGATAAGGTACAAGTATATGTATATACAAATGATGTCGCGTTCTTTGCATCTGACACGATATTCATTTACTACATTCGACTTTACAGTGTTATTTGGCAACATTGGAAACCTGGTTTCAGAAAATTCATATGAACCTGAACGTAACTAAAAGTGCTATAATAGTTTTTCCATTGGACGCACCAGTTACTATTTCTCTTCAGTACCACCAAGAAATAATTCCCCAGGTTAACTGCATTAAATATCTGGGTGTGCTGTACGATCAAAAACTGAGCTGGCGTGACCACATTGAATATATTAAAATTAAGGCTACACGCGCTGTTGGAATGATAGGTAGGCTTGGCCGCCTCCGTTCCGGTCTTCGCAGAGATACGCTGATCATGATTTATCGCATGTACGTTCGTCCGATTCTTGAATTCGGATGTGTACTATTCTCTAGTGGACCAGCATACAAAATAAACCCCCTGATTCTCTTGGACCGGGAAGCTCTACGTAGTTGTTTAGGTGTGCCAAAATTCACAGCTAACAATGTTTTGTATCAAGAAGCTCGGATACCCACTCTTGCTTGCAGATTTCGTATTTTAACAGTAAAAACCTATTTAAAATTTTCTGAATCCACTTTAAGAAGGCGACAGTTTGTATTCTTTGCCGAGCCTGGTGTCTTTTTCAATGAGCTTTGGTCCCGTGTATGTAAACCCCAAGTGCTATTTGTTCAAACACTTCTAGATGCTTTAAATGTTAATATATTCGAGATCACACCATCTGTCAAACCAATCGGCCAAGTGCAAATAAAATTTGACGATATCTTCCCCATGAACGCTAAACACTTGCCCTCTAAATATTTGATTGGTTTATTAGAACAACATCTGTCTCAATTAGGTACTAATATAGTAATTGCAACGGATCCATCTATGAGTGGTGAGAAGTCAGGTGTGGGAATTTTTTCTCTCTCATTATTCTGGTCATTTTCATTACGCCTCCTAGATTATACACCAATATTTGAAGCGGAATTAATGGCCGTTATACTGGCTATTCGTAAACTTCCTGCGACTCTTTCGACAGCTGTGATAGTGTCTGACTCGTATTCCGTGTGTTCATTTTTATCATCGTCGTCGACATCAGCAGTACTAGAAACTTTTAAATCAATAATCCCAGCAAACATTCGTCCAGTGCGAATGATATGGGTGCCAGGTCGTCGTAGTATATTTATAAACGAGATGGCTGACACACTTGCGCGAACATCTCTTGATCTTCCGATTGTGCTAATCATGCCTCCTACAGCTTATGTAACAGCAGCGAGGTTTAGAAAACTTTCCCTTCTTGAAGACTCGTCAAAAATCATGATACCGAATCCAGATTTGTCGCACCTGCACTTCGCATGGAATAATAGATGGTGTCCCACGCGTAAATTGGAAGTCTTGATAACAAAATTACGTTGCCGTGTACCACTTCTTAATTTCTACTTAAACAGGTCTGGTCTGGTGCCATCCCCTCTGTGCTCAAGCTGTAACGAACCTGAACATATCGACCATTTTCTTATTACATGTCACCGTTTCAAAAATCAAAGAAAAAACTGCTTTGAAATTTTATTCAGAAAACTAGGAATATCACTTAATACTCCCAATATTTTGTGTTTTGGGGCCACTTCATTGGGACACAGCGACAGGAACATCTGCGGGGCTCTCTGCGAATTCATATATAACACAAGAAGATTACCTTGCTGAGTCAGTGATCAGCTCTCAAATTTTACTAGCCACACTACCACTTCTTATTTAGCTGATACACTGAAATGATTCAACTTTCAGGAGAATTTCATACAACGATTCCACCTCAGATATTCAACAAATTCTATTATTTCTCTCCCCCCCCCCCTTTTTTTCTTTTTTTTCACATTGCGCCAAAATAATTTCACAGTCAAAACACTGTAATCATATTCCCCTAGTCTAGAAAACCTAAAGGTATTGACTTGCATTAACCACCGGCTTCTTGACCAATACCCCTTAGTGGGTGAGAGCCACAAAAGAAAGGAACAAGCAAGCAAGCAAAACAAAGCCCAGCTGAAGCACGCGAACTGTACCTGGTTGCACTTTCGGTTTCTGATTCGAAACTTGCGTCCCAAGCGAATGGCTGTATAGTTGTCAACATGGACGCTTTCAGCTGCGTGAGTCATCAAACTGAATCAAGCGCGGCGTAGGTATGATAGTGCTGATACTACTGCGACGTTTAAAGTACAAGGCTGTTTTACCCAATGTGCGAGTTTGCCGGTAACTGAAACGAACGGCAGAAAACGTCGGAGCTCCTACGAGCTAGGGCTTCGGGTGCCGCTTTTGAAGTCGCACCTGTTGATCCGTTGCTTCTTGTTGTAACTGCTTTGCTCGGTTGCCACCAGTGCGCGACTTCGCCATGTCTCTGACCGACGAAGAGCTAGAGCGACTCGCCAGGGAGGAGATACTGCGCGAAACGAGACGCGGTGCCGAGAGGGCGAAAGACCACGGCGCCTACGGCTGGGAGAAACCGCGTGTACATCCGACCAACAAGAACTTTCTCAAGAACACGATCCTCAGCACCTTGGTCAGCAGGAAAGGCGGAAGAAGAGGAGAGGCGAAGACAGAGTCGGAGCGCAAGCCCGAAAAGGACAGTCGTCCAGTTGACGGCGGAGGCAGGTCGGCCCGTCGCCAGTCTTTTGAGAACCGCCCGAAAAAACCATCACAGGACCCACGCGATGATCGGAAGGTCACTGCTGATAAATGTGACCGGAAAAGGACTCACGACGGTGTTCGGAAGAACAAGCAGTGATTTTAAGGGTTTGAGACCACTCCTCAAAGGGTTTTTCTTGTTGGTTGTGTTTTGACAGCGCGTGCGTCGATTGAATTCCTCGCCTGTTGCTTCGATCGTGCTGTGGGCCGTTCGGTAACACATCCTGCTTGGTGTGTTGCTGATAGTAGAATTATGTGCCAAGCTGCGCGCTCGTCTAGTCATTGGGGATATCGTGCTCGGTCCTGCGCTGCCTTGTGTGTTGTGCACGCTTCAGTGCACAACACACACATACTAACCTGTCATTTTGATCTTGAAGTTGTGATCTGCTAGATGCCAACCCGTAGAATACCATCATCCACGCGCGTCTTGTGTCTTTCGACAACTAATTGAAAAGCTAGTATTCCTCGGAAGAGTCAGCTAATAGAGCTGTCTGTCTTTGTTGTGGACATTAAAGTACAATATTCTCGCGCATATGCACTATATTCATATTTTTCTTGTTTTTTTTTCTTTTTGCAGTTTAGCGTTCAGGGATTGGATTGATGTAACACCACGATTTCTTCTCAAACCGACCCAACCTTCTCTTTTTTACAAAGATGCACTCCTTCAACCCCCCGCCCCCCTCCACATACTCACACCTTTATTTCACACACTCAAAAAAGAAAAAAAAAAGAATCGATTCTCGATAAACCCTTGATGCGTACAAGCACAATCTTACATCCATATTACAACAGAACTCCTCGTATAGTGTGCTGTTCGATAATTAGTTTGCCTAACATGTAAACAGCATTAACAATTTTTCCCTCTCGACATGCAGTAGCATGTCGAGAGGGAAAAACGATTTCTCTGTCATTGTGCAGAGTATGGCTGATTCATTCACAGCCAAAGAATGCTTCATGTAACTAAGCTAAAGCTAGGATCACCTGTGATGGACAGATGTTTACAACCAGAAATGTTAAAACAATCCTTAACCATTCACTATATCTCTCCAACTTCTGTTTTACCTGCCATGATGATGCAGCAGCGTTAACATTTTGGTGCTGGGAGCGTGGGCTAAAGCTTCAGTTATAAACTCTCGTGTGGAAATTCTCCTACTTGGTTTCATGTGCCGACTTCTGATTATAGTATTATTTATGCTCCCAGTTATTGCTATTAATTAGGTTTCGATGCTGAGTGTGCATGTACTACATAAGGATTCGTATAACATCACACTGATGTGCAAGGCACATTACTATGATTAGACACTTTAGAAAGTTTCCAATCCTGCACCTGCTTCACTAACGTTTTAGGCCATGATTTAAATGTATAATAATTCATAAGGTATACAGTTCACTCATTGACTCTTAATCACATTTGTATGCATGTCAAAGCACAGATTAGCAGTTTTGGTTGTAGGCACACTCCACTGTCTATAAATAGTACCCCTATATCGAATAAAATCTTGAACATTCCATAGTGTCCTCCAGCAGTTAAAAAAGGCCAGTGCACAATCGGTGTTTAGTGGCTTGCTGTTTCCGCTGATCTCGTGTTGGGCTACTTTGCCAAAGATGCCTTTAGGGAGCTTGTTGATCATTCAGAACTCTCTCAAAAGGGTGAAAGTGTTGTGTGAAGCCGTCTGTGGCACAATTTGCACAAATGCTAGCAGAGGGTGTAAATTAAAATAAATTTTTTACCTATGATTGGTCGCAAGAGATGTTGCCACATAAACGTGAAGCTACACTTCTAAGAAAACTGGCATTTTGGAGCTTTTAGCTTTTACGTATACTTCTTTACGTTATGCCAGAACAAACCTGTGCATGTGCAGGCCATCATAGAGTTTCCTAAATATATTTAGAGGGGACTCTGGCGCTGCGATCGTTCAGCGACCATGGGAATGATGGGTATTACACACACTTGCTTAGTCTTTGTACTTGGGGCTTCGTTTATTGCTGGTTATGGTTTTGTTTTGAAGAAAAGAACGAACCCTTTTGACCTTGTGACCCAATTCGAAATGGTAAGCCTAAAAGAATAAGGTTGTGAAGCGAAACGCTGAACATTCGCTAATATTTTTTTGCGAAAAAAAAAGCTTCAAGCCACACGAACACACGTGGAGTCACAAGTAGGCCAGAAGTACGAAAATGAGACAAATATGTGCACTACCCATCATTCCCATGCTCGCTGAAGCGCCGTGCGTTGCAGCTCCCATAGGCACTAGCGTCAGAGATCCCTCTAGTGTATATTAGGAAACTCTATACAGACCATTAAAGAACGTAGACTTTTTACAGAATGTAAACTACTCGCAGAATTACAAGTCCGCTATCATTCGTGGCAATGCGTGATACCGCTTTTCAGAGACTCTAGCTGCCAAGACCAAATGAGCTGGAATGCAAGTGTGAATTGCTATGACCTTGTTTCAGCCAGCTTAATGAAGTTAGAGTGACCTAAAATACCGAAGCTATAAACGTAAGGGGCCTAAATCTCCCGACAATGGATGGATGGATGGATATGGCTGTACCCTTTAGATCGAGCGGTGGCTAGAGCCACCAAGCCGTTATACTTAATGAACCAAAAACTAGATTTATTTTTTTTTCTTAAATAGTGAGGTTGAAGATTCGTACTTTGCAGCGAAGGGTTCAATTTTCACTTGGGCCTTGACTTTAGCCACCAATCAGATAACCTCCTTCTAGTTAATTCTACCTGCTTAATGTCTATTTTGTCCTCATTGTCCCTAAACCCCAGTGCTTTGAAAAACTCTGTGCCATCAACCTGAACTACAGGGTGAAGCCCTTTACAGAACATTATCAAGTGTTCGGCAGTTTCTTCTTCCTCTCCACACGCACTGCATACCGTGTCTACCCCTTCATATTTGGCCCGATATGTCTTTGTTCGCAATACTCCCATTCTGGCCTCAAACAGTAGAGAACTACCCCGAGTATTATCATAGATCCTTGCCTTGGCTATTTCCTGCTTAAAAGTTTGATAGATCTCTAGTGCGGACTTCTTAATCATGCCAATTCTCCACATATTGGTCTCAGCTTCCTTCACCTTCTTAGCCCGTGTGCTCAGATTTGGGTGCACGTTAAAGAACCCCAGGTGGTCGAAATTTCCGGAGCCCTCCACTACGGCGTCTCTCATAATCACATAGTGGTTTTGGGACGTTAAACCCCACATATCAATCAAATCAATCCTTCACCTTCTTAATCGATAATTCTTTTTGGTTTGGCCCCCTGCTGTTTTCCAAGTATTTACCAGTCAATTTTCTGGTTCGCTTCCGCCATTTTGTATCGACATTCTTCATGTACAAGTAGCTGAATACCTTCCTAGCCCAACGCTCCTCCCCCATTTCTCTCAATCGCTTCTCAAATTTTATCTTGCTGCTGGCTTCCCCGCCCTCAAATGATGTCCATCCCATATCACCCTGTACTCCCTGATTCGGTGTATTCCCGTGAGCTCCTAAAGCAAGCCTACCTATTCCACGTTGCTTAATTTCTTATCTTGCTTGAAATTCTGATCTCATGAACAAGACCGCATTACCGAACGTCCGAACAGGAACCATGACCCCTTTTCATATTCCTCTCACAACATCATACCTATTGTAATTCCACAGTGCCCTGTTTTTAATCACTGATGCATTCCTGTTACCTTTAATCGTCACGTATATTTCGTGTTCCCTTTAGGTACTTGGTCCCATTGCTTATTCATACGCCCAGATATTTGTATTTATCTGTTATCTCTAGCGTGACCTTCTGTATTCTAAGCTCACTACCTTCATTGTCATTAAAAATCATGACTGCTGATTTTTCCTTACTGAATCTGAAATCTAACCTATCTCCCTCATTACCGCAGATGTCCATCGATCTCTGCCAATCTTCCTTGTTGTCGGCCATTAGCACTATATCATGTGCGTACATCAATGCTGGTAGTGCCTGTTCAATGAGTTTTCCTTGTTTGACGAAAGAGAGGTAGCAACCCAGTCATCATCATCATCATCATCATCATCAGCCTGACTACGTCCACTGCAGGACAAAGGCCTCTCCCATGTTCCGCCAGTTAACCCGGTCCTGTGCTTGCTGCTGCCAATTTATACCCGCAAACTTCTTAATCTCATCTGCCCACCTAATCTTCTGTCTCCCCCTAACCCGCTTCCCTTCTCTGGGAATCCAGTCAGTTACCCTTAATGACCAGCGGTTATCCTGTCTACGCGCTACATGCCCTGCCCATGTCCATTTCTTCTTCTTGATTTCAGCTATGATATCCTTAACCCCCGTTTGTTCCCTAATCCATTCTGCTCTCTTCTTGTCTCTTAAGGTTACACCTACCATTTTTCTTTCCATTGCTCGCTGCGTCGTCCTCAATTTAAGCTGAACCCTCTTTGTAAGTCTCCAGGTTTCTGCTCCGTAGCTAAGTACCGGCAAGATACAGCTGTTATATACCTTCCTCTTGAGGGATAGTGGCAATCTACCTGTCATAATTTGAGAGTGCTTGCCGAATGTGCTCCACCCCATCCTTATTCTTCTAGTTACTTCAATCTCATGGTTTGGCTCTGCGGTTATTACCTGCCCTAAGTAGACATAGTCTTTTACAACTTCAAGTGCACTATTACCTATCTCGAAGCGCTGCTCCTTGCCGAGGTTGTTATACATTACTTTCGTTTTCTGCAGATTAATTTTAAGACCCACCTTTCTGCTCTCCTTGTCTAACTCCGTAATCATGAGTTGCAATTCGTCCTCTGAGTTACTCAGCAATGCAATGTCATCAGCGAAGCGCAGGTTACAAAGGTATTCTCCATTGACTCTTATCCCTAACTGTTCCCATTCTAGGCTTCTCAAAACCTCCTGTAAGCACGCGGTAAATAGCATTGGGGAAATTGTGTCCCCCTGCCTTACACCCTTCTTGATTGGTATTCTGTTGCTTTCTTTATGAAGCACTATGGTAGCAGTTGATCCCCTGTAGATTTCTTCCAGAATGTTTATATATACTTCATCTACGCCCTGATTCCGCAGTGTTTGCATGACGGCTGATATTTCTACTGAATCAAACGCCTTCTCGTAATCTATGAAGGC